CAATAACTTTGCGCAATTGTCTCGTCAACATCTGTGTTACCATGAAAGATAAACGTATTATATCCTTCTTAAACGCACTCTATGACTTCGAAATAAACTATAAAAGACTGTTTTATGTAACAGATAATTTTTTAGTCTCTATAAAGAAAAGATAAGGTTTAATCTCTTGTTTACCGCCAATGCTATTTTCACGGCATGGTAAGGTGTCCCAACTGAAACGATGCTGAGATGTGAGCAAAACTTTAGACATCAGTTGCAGTGCTAACTCGCGATTACCCTTACCGGGGTCTCACTCGCTATCCACCACACTGTCCGAGGTCCTTGCTTTATCCTTTTCTTAGCTATGTATTCACTCTTTCGGTGCTATCAGTAGACACCCATCAACAGGAAAGACATTTCGCCGGTATGGGTAATCATGGGTTTGAATCCCGCTTAATTTTCCGAGTTTCGCTCAAAAATCAGCATCCTAACGGTTATACGAAAATGTTTTTTGTCCACGCTAACTTGCCCTATTTAGTGACAAACACGAATCTCGTTCGTAGCCTAATTTGCCGAAATATTTATTTATAAACATAATATTTGAAACTATTCAGAACTTTCGATGGACCTTCCTACTCTCATCTTACATCCTCCTAAATGGTTACTTCTTATTTTAAGCGCATTGCTTCTTTCTGTAGTTAAGGAGCACTCAAGCCTGCAGTCCAAAGGCGTTTATTTACAACTGAAAACGATTAACGACTAGCAACTAAATGTGTGCACTAGGCTCCAACAGTTTTTATAATGTTGATATCGGACTTTAACGGACCGTCGATGCCATAGAAAAATTTGTGTACTTCTATGTCGGCAATAGGTGAGTAAGCGAGACAGTGCCTCCGCCCCAGTCGCACCGTGCGCATCCCCTAACCACCATCACTATTAACTGGCTGTCACGCTCTCCTTACATACACACTCACATACACGTGCATGCACACATTCACATAACAGCTACCCATCCACAAAACTAAACACACTTTCATATTCACAGATATACATAAACTTACACTTCTACCGACCAAGCACTGATTCAATAAACTCTACTATCGGCCGCCATCTCACTGCACATGGGCGCCTGTTGCTCACGAAACTCACGAAAATCACAAGAGGTACTGTTTTATGAAGCTCTTCTATTTTAGAAACCAAGAATCTAAAGAAAACTTCGTTCTAAAGATATAAATCAGTTTTGTAGCAACATCTCAATAATTTTGTAGCTTCCATACATGTCCACCCTTTTACTGCGTTTCTTATCACCACGGACGATATCACAATGTTCAGCACTGTTTGTTCTTTTGCTTTCTGGTGCTTGCAAATAAGAAATGATGACGAAAAGCGAGTTACGTCATATTACAGACGACATTTAACCCCACTACTTCAGTTTAGAGGAAACGAGACCTCTCTCGTGATTTATTTCTTTCGTTTGTTTCTTTGTTCTTAGAAAGCTTTATATCACATTTAGATACATTTGCTGGCAAGTTTTCACTGGATCCATAACGGTGCAATTAAATGAGTCTATAACTAACATTGCTGGTTTCGTTAGCAGTTCTCGGTAACGTTCCAGAAATTCCGTAGCTTCGCAGTATATCGTATTCGTCGAAGTTGTTTATCTGATTCAATGATTGTCAGTGACGTATTCTGAATATGATTCTTCTATCACCTATTAATACATCTACTCACAACAATTGCAACTGACATTGGCGGCATTGATTGCTGGATCGCGCAACAAAAACCAGCTCCGATTCGTCCGACTTTTTCCTGTTTCAATCAGTCTACCTACGTACGCAAAACAACCTTATCAACATCACGGTCAAATCTGGTGTCGAAGATGCAGTGTAACCTTTAATTTATTGCAACTTATTAAACGGCTGCACACTGTCAATCAAATACGCGTCAGGCGTTACCACGAAGAATGAGATTCTCTCATTTCCAATCGCCGCCAATACATGCACCGTGCAAACTGTTAGCCTCCGGGTCTTTTCTGTTCGCCAAATGCTCTTACATCAAATCTCATATCAGTTCGTAGACATTGCTCTGCTGGTGAGATTGTAGTATAATTTATCGTTTCTCGTTAACAAATGCAAGCGATTATAGTTATAACTGCAGTTTTTTAGAGCGTTCTGGTTAGTTATTGGACATACTTAGTACTGCTTTTTGCTTCCTTTCATCGTAGCTGTTTATTTATGTTTGGAAGAACAGTAATTTAAGTACGTAACATTGAAATAAGAAAGAAATTCCTGTTAATTAGGCTATTTCAATTCGCTCATAACTATTTACGTAGCTTCCGAAAACTTTAGTCATGGTGGCGGTCATTACTGAACAGCCGAATTGGTCTAACTAATAATGCTAATAATGAAGGGCCCGTGTAGCGTAGTGGTCGGAGGCGCCATGCAGCACACACGTGGAATCGATCCCCACACCCATGGCCCACAAAGCCTTCCATCCTTCCGGGGTCGGTAAATTGGTACCAGACTTGTCTAGGTGGGTATCAGCACTGGCTCGATACATCGGTGGGTGATCGCGAATCATTATAAAGGTCAGATATGCATTTAATCACCTCCAAACGATGCCTAGTGAGATAGAATGCATGGCGCACCCCTCAAGGGTTGATCAACACCAAGAGCTTTATCCTTTAAGCCTTTAATAATGCTGCACAAATGTAGTACTCGTTGAGTTGTTTTTGCGGTCATGAACTATCTAAACGTCAAAGTGTTTATGTTCGATATTTGGGACTGCATGAAAATATCATGGTTGCAGACATAAAACAATGTTATTGACCTAGAAAAATACCCGATTGAAATAGCACTAGTTTTCTTCCGTATTTCTCGCTGCGATTGCTCTGAAAGGAAACCATCAACAGTTTCCAACAAACTGCCAAGTACCTAGGCACGTGTGAATAAAAACAAAGACATGAATCATGCGCTAAGAAACATCGAAAGGCTTGTTCAAAACTTCATTCAAACATCTTTTAAAAACACCATGGTACGTGATAAATGAACCTGCTGTATAAATGACTATAACTTTTGTTGCTTTCCTAATTAGTATAGTGCAGCGCTTCAACAATGTGAAGTCGTTATATCAAAAAAAAACTCTTAACTGGCTATTAGAGTTGTACGTGTCGATTTTTTTTTGGTGCCGATTCCATGTGGTTAAAAAGTGCAAAATACTCTACCAGCGACAACGTGTACAGCTGATCTATACTTGAGAAAATCTTTCCTAATTCACCAATAGACCTCTCACTTATTCTGCTACACTACCACCATTTTCTTCCAAGAGCCTTTCCAATCATAACCAAGTGCTGTGCTATTGAGTAACACCGATTAGGCCATTATTTTAAGAAATATAATGCTATGACGATGCTAGGAAGAGGCTGGTAAAGATGTAAGTCATTTTTACGATGAAGTAGTGTTGCTGTTCTAGTGATATCGACAGCTGATAGTCGATATTTCAACAATCTCGATTTTCCGCACTTTAACGGATTTCCTTCTATTCAAAGTGTTCTTTCTCAACGGTTCACGCCATATAAAAACTGAGTAGATGAGAATATGAGAAACGTTTTCGCATTCCTTCATTGTGGCAAATGTGAACTTAGCAGACGTTCGTAGTTGATACAATCACCATTGCCAGCGCTTTGCGGTAGACATCAGAGTTGCGAACGCGACGTCAAGTGCTATCACAACTGGTTTTTTTTTTTTACAATAGCATTTCATCCCTGTTCTCAGTCACCACATTACACAAAACGTGCCAGCAGGTTAATATTGAGGAATTCAGACTGTATCAATGAGAAAACGGCACACGTTTTGATTTCTAAGTGTGGCTGTTGAAAATGCTACCCAACCAAAACAATCAAACCGACTGTTCAGCCCAGAATGCAATCTTAAAAACTTCCATGACTTCTTTCTAGATAAGTGTTGAATTTTTCGTGGGTCTCTTAGGTTATTAAGAAAAAACAACTAGATGTACTGTATTCTCATATATGTACTAAGTGAAACCAGAAGGGCGAAAAAAGGATGCGAAAATGTAGTTTTTAAGAAGCAGTCTAAATTATCGCAAGTGCGAAAATTTTAGACTATGTTTGGACCTTAATGCGTTCACCACCACACCATGCGAGTCTTTCTCCTTTTACCCGGAAAGGGTAATAGCGCGTTAGTTCCCCACCGCAAACACCTGCGGTCCGGAGTTTTGCAAATATCTCATCATTATGGAAGTTATATTTCGCAACATATGTTGCCGTCAAAAAGATTAGGTAGCAAATAAGAAGGTTAAGATTATGTTTGGCCCACTTACTGCTGCTGTTAATATCAAATCTAGCCATGTCGTATTCGCCGGCATACAGTCGTTTAGCAAACTTATCGCTGGCAAGATAATTTCAGATTTTTTTGCTCCAGTATTCATCGAAATTTTCTGATGCTCCATTTTTCTCCTATTCGACAGAGTGAGTGAAATTTTATGCCCGTATAAATACACTTACACCTTACCCTTCAATATTTTACTTTCTCATCGTGGTTCAGAGGTGTTGAGTACCTCCAAGGAACTTCAGTGATGGATTCATCACCCATCAGGTCTCTAGTACGGCTTTCCCAGTTGGAAGCTCAGTTAAGACTAAGCTATTGCTAGGAATCAGTACATTCCCAAAAAAAATCGTCACTAGCTAAAACATGGTGATGATATGGGTAAACCTTAAAGCTGCTTTCGAGACTCATGGAAAAGAAAACGGGAAACCACCAATCTAAATGTAATATATGCTGAAATTCGCACTATTTTTCGCCGTCAAGAAAGAACGCTTAAGTATGAAAGTACTGAAGGTGTTACTGCACAGATGACAACTCGATTGGTACGCTGTAGATAAATTCCTACTGACTTAAATAAAATGCTTGAAATAACGGAATTTTGACAAAAATGTAGTTAAGTGAGGAGCAGTTCAAAATGCCTTTGGTGCCTAAAAGCTTTGAAAAATTAATACAAGAAATTTGAAGGCCGGAGAGGTGGGTGAAATACGGGACGATGATCTTAAGGGGATCTTCCGAGAGTTCGATTTAAATGGTGACGGATTTATCCAAAGGGTAGGTCTAACCAAATTATTCCTTTTTGGCACAATTTTTAAATATTTTAACAAACCAGGACGAATTGCGATCAGTTATGCAGAAGATGGGACAATCGCCTACTGAGGAGGAGTTGGATGCCATGTTCAACGCGGCTGACCAGGACAACGATGGAAATATTGACTTCAAGGGTGCGGTTTTATTCCAAAAAAAAAAAGAACTTGCTATATTTTTTGCTGGAATACCAGCTAAAGAGGATAACGCAACCAAATCGTCTGTTTGATTACGAGGAGATGTTGTTTGTTGCACAGAAATTTCGACTTCATCAAGTGTTGAATATATGAAATTTGATTCGGTTGATGATCACTGTACTTTGAAACATTTTGCAGTTTTCTGGTTTCAGAAATTTGTTTAGATATCTAGAATGAGATAGTCATCTACCATCATTTCAATTAAAGGAATTAAAAGTTTATTCGTATTTCAGCTAATGACACATTTTATTAGGGAAGCGTGTAGCGCAGTAGTCCCGATCCTGCGCATCGGGGTCATCAACCCTTCCACATCTCAGGGGTCGGCAAGTTTGTGTTAGACTTTCCCAGAGTGGCAGCAGCACTGACTTTATTTATCGGTAAGCTACCGCAAACCACTGTGTAAGCCCCATTCAGTCACCTCTAACGATGCTTAATGAAGTTGAATGTAAGGCGCGTCTCTCTAATATTGTTCAAACGCTTATCCTAATGCTTTCAAGCGCTATATTAAGCTAGACTTAGCAAAACGTTTCAGAAATGTTTGCTTAGAAGAAAAAACCCCTAAATTGATAAAATCATGTGTAATGGCTTCTAGCCAAAGGTGTAAAATGCTCAATATAGTTTCACTCAAACTTGAACAGAAATGTGGATTATTAAAACTGTGATGTGAGTCGAAGATTCTAGAATTTCTTCAAATTGCACACGCCAACCCTTTGTCGCTCTCGCTGAAGGCCGTTTTTGAAGAGTTAGACGTCGATGGCGATGGCTACATTACAAGGTCTACCAATTCGCATTTTAGAGTCATTTTGCTCAGTTATGAAGAAAAATGCCCTTGTTCAGCAAATTAAAGCACATTTAAAAGTGAGAAACGTACTCAACATCTTCAGATCCGAGCTGCGAACAGCGTTCCAGCGAATGGGTCACTCGCTTTCCGATCAGGATATTAAAGCCATTTATAAACATGTCGACGCCAACAATGACGGAAAAATCAATTTTCAAGGTAGAGATTTCCTATTTTCTCTCTTTTCTTGATCATTCCTCTTTTTCTACACTTTATTAAAGCGGAGTAGGATACTTGGATACTTGGATGGCCCGTCTTCACTGGTTGTGCGGGCCTGAGCATAATTCCCGTTTTCTCGGAGTTTTGCCGGTTTAGCCATTGTGGTACCCTGGCGTGTCGAGGTCAGCCTAGGCAAAGTCAGCTCCAGGTTTTCATCACCACACGCGGTCGTCGGCCTATGCGGATCAGTGGAAGACTTGCCACCATTTGACTAGTTTCATAGCAGGGCAGTGGTGCATTCTGTTACTGGTTCACGCTTAACTGGGCGTTCTGATGGAAACGCAGTACTTCTTCTCAGCTAGGGAGACCTTGTTAACGTTATGAATTCCCACAATGTACATGGCAGCCCGACTCCTAGGAACACCTCTGAGCCAAGACAAAGCGGTAAACTGTTGGGAGGAAATTGGATAAGAAACTAAGAAAGAGCCTGTAAATTACATTTTTTGTTAAAGAAGAACCTCGTAGTTAAGTGTTTTTGATCACTGAAGGTATTAACAATACGATGCTGGGGGATTTTTTGAAAACGCGGCTATTGACGTGAATCTGAAATGATCACCGCAGTTCTGCACAGAGTAGACATCATTTCAACACAGGTACACTTTGGGAAGCAAAACCGAGCTGAGTTTTAGTGGCGAATAAATTTCTCGTCTAAATTTCAGCTCTCATTAGTGTATTTTTCCCCAAATCAATGTTGTGAACAAAAGTGTATCTTTTTCAAATAATTCGTGTAAAAGGATTACCTGCGAAACAGCTCGGTTTTCTGAGTGCCCCATGAAGTAGTATGCAGCAGTGACTTGAAACCAGTACACCGGCAGCGTTGTGAGAACAACTGCAGATGCTTGTAAAACAATTTATGCTCCAAATTTCCATGGCATCCCAGCTTTTTCAACTATTTCAACGTTTTTGAAGTTGCAAGAAATAAGGGAGAGAAATTAGTATACTGAGATATTTGCAAAACCTCTGGACCGCAGATGTCTATGGTGGGAAACGAACGCGCTGTTAACTTTCCGGGTAGTAACGCGTTCACCACCACACCATGCGGGTCCTTCGTTTTGCCTGTCTCTCAGCTATTTCTATCGATCTTTTTGCCACAGCAATCACCCGTCAGCGGGGTTGACCTGGGGAGCGCAAATCGGCATAGAACCCAGTTAAGCTATGGCTGTTGTTGAAGTCACAATGTTTAACGTTTTGTTTTCTGCCTTCTATAATTTTCATGGCAGGTTACTAAGCGAAATACAACCACAACGTTGCTGAGATATTTGCAAAACTCTGGACCGCAGGTGTCTATGGTGGGTAACGAACGCGCTATTATCCTTTCCGGGAGACAAAACGTTAAACATTGTCTGGGTTCTATGCCGATTTGCGCTCCCCAGGTCAACCCCGCTGACGGGTGATCGCTGTGGCAAAAAGATCGATAGAAATAGCTGAGAGGCAGGCGAAACGAAGGACCTGCATGGTGTGGTGGTGAACGCGTTACTCCCCGGAAAGGATAATAGCGCGTTCGTTCTCCACCATAGACTCCTGCGGTCCAGAGTTTTGCAAATATCTCAGCAACGTTGTGGTTGTATTTCGCTTAGTAACCTGCGATGAAAATTATGGAAGGCAGAAAACAAAACCTTAAACATAGAAATTCGTATATAACAGGCAACCGATAGTGTCACTTACCATGCGTTTCGAAATCATGAAAGTTCTTTGATGTGACGTATTCACACATCTTGCACAGACCCGAATCTTTCTGTTAACGGCTAATTAGAAGCTATTTAATCATGTCTTCAATATGAAGATTAGTGCTATCCATGCCTATAGTGATTAACGAGGAAGGCGATTTATGCCAGCTCGTAGTGAATTTTTGTAACAGCAGTAAAAATGTTGCAGTCTGAACCATTGACTACAGGATAAAAGCTCTCATGCTTGACTACAACAAAATTCTGATTTTATGAAGACCTCAACATATAGTTTTGAAGCCCATATTCTAGCACAAAAGTAAATGAACAAACGGGTTTTTCACTGTAGGATACGACGTGTAGGATGTGCTTTTGCGTTGGGAACTCTAAAGCTCATAAAGTTTTTCAGATTTTTAAGAATTTTCATTCTAGGCATATTTCATGCTACAAAAAAATGCTCAAAAATTATGTACACAGTTTCCGTGATAGATCGAGGCCTCTTCTACGAATCGATGAAGTTTTGTACTCTTAAAGCGCTGTGTTGATTGAAAAGTTATTGTTGTTTATCCAGGAACCAGCTTCGTTACGAAATGGTCAACAGTGCAAATATTTTTCCGTGGCATTCACTAAATTTTAAATTACCTTAAAGTCTAGGGACAAAATTTCTAATCATAAACCTTCTAGAGTCAAAACAAAGCTCAAATTTACGAAAAATTCCACGTAACTGCGGCAGCTACGAAAATTAGCGACACATTTGAAAACATCATCACGCCTAGCTGCACGAAATCTCTTTTGCTCAGCTACTTCGATGATTGAAGTATGAGTATTCATCTTGTGGGAACAACAAGATGTATGCGTGTTCTGGGCTGAGTTTTTCAATTTGCGTCAAGATTTATCGACTCAAATAAACTAGCCATTATTGTCGCATCGTATTGCTACATACCTCTCAACGGTTTGCCGCCTCGTGGCTGGGAGGTGTTCCTAGGTGTCGGTCTGCGATGCAGAGCTGGAGGATTCATCCACCCGGCAAGGTCTCCCACGCTGGGAACGAGTCCGACGTTTCCATCAGGAAGCCTAGCTAAGAGTAGACCAATACAAGGATGCACCACCGTCCTGATATCAAAGTCACATAGTGGCAAATCTCTCTCTGTTCTCGTTAAACATTATAGCATATATCACCTGTATCACCTATGGTCGACGACCGATCTGGTGCCGGTAAAATATTCCTATTTACTTTTGCCACGCACAGAAGTAACTCAGTGGATCCTCGACGCTCTAGGAAACCGCTGAGCAAAACATCTTAGTTCTTACGTTGTCGTGAAAAACCTGACCAACAGGTCCCTTCTTGCCAGGCGTTTGACACTCCGAAAAATCAACCCGCTGATGGCTTCTGCCCCTCGATTGTCACTTAAACGGATAGCGTTTCCGGGCCACCTAATTCTCGAGTTTCGGCGCAGTTCGGAATTTCGAATTCTCACTCTCAATTGGCTGACACGGGACACACCTTGTATCTCCCATTCGAGTGCTGCTTTGGCAATGCTAAGTGAACATTCTGCTTAGATACCAACCAGGCTTCTGACGAGAATGTTAAAACAGAAAGTATTGTAGGTTCAAAATGGTGGACAAAGAATCGAGTCTTATTAGTCCTCTTCATTACACCCTCGATACTCCTAAATGCTCCCGAGCACCTCCGTCCTTTAAAGGTGCATGGAGCATCAGAAACGAATCCACATTTCTTGAACATTTTTTTCGTGAGGTTCAGTCGAAGACCAATCTTTCATCAAAAGTTGTCGAAACCAGCTAATATTCGCTCTACTTGGTTAATGGTTGATGTTATAAAATCGTTGACACCATCAAAGCGAAGATGGTGTAATTGCCGACATTCGTTTTTCACTTCCACGTTGTCTCATTGCAAATTTCTCATAATGTTCTCTAGGATGGTGGTAAACAATTTCGACGAGAGGGTATCACGTTGCCTAACCCCTCTTTTGAAATTGATGATCATGTCGTCACAGAATGGTGATATCTGGGTTGTTAAATTTTCATACAGCGCACGAAGAATCTTTGTACACTAAGTAGGGACTTGCTTAGTGTCCAGAGCTTCCATGTCTACTTTTATCTCACACGAGCCAAAATCCTTCTTTAAATCGATGAAATTGAGACAGAGCGGTCTTTTGTGCTCTCGTGGTACTTCAATTAGTCTTGTTATCGTGTGGATATTGTCCATTGCACTCAATCCTTTTCGAAACCCCGCTTGCTCACATGGCGGTCCTTCGTCCAGTGTTTTGTCAATTCTGTTCAGAATGACTTGAGTGAAGAGTTTGTAGAGGGCAGACAGCATACAGATTGGGCGACAGTTGCGATATCGTAGAGGTCATCCTTCTTAAAAAATAACACGGTCTTGCTGGCCTTCCACTGGATAGCAACCTTAAAATTCGGACAGGTAACGTATGAGGATCCGATCCAATGTGTTGGTGAGAACTGGCAGCAGGTTCTTCACTTATGGGAGTGGACACCCTGCAAACGTCACCTTTCAATACACATGTGGTCTTCAATACTTCATCTCGAGCTTACTATGCGTTCCACCTCTTCGGTGTCATAGAAATGCTACTACTGTTGATTGGAGAATTACAGCGCTGATCTGATAAATAGGTGGGCGAATGGAGACCAATGACATTAAATATATGCTCCTGGTTACCTCTAATGATTCTTGAGAAATTCTAATCCATGACGCATCTCTCAGGAATTGGTCATTGACTGGAGCTTTACAGCTTTCGTTGTATATACAGTCTTGGTCGACATGACAAACTCAAAAAGCCGCCCACCACCCAACATAGGTTCCTTCAGATATTCCTTTGGGTTCGTCTATAGGCTTATAATCTTTAAATATTTTTTTAAAAGATTTATGTTCTTCTTTGTAAAAGCTATCCAAGTCCATAGGGAACACTCCGACTTCGCCCTCGTCATAGCTTGATGTCGGTAGTAGACAGCGAACATTGCCATAGCCATGTTGACCCACTTCTCTTTAATGGTAAAAACACGATTCGGACGTGTTATTTGCTCAAATCAGTCGATGTTCAAGGGCAAACTGTTGTTATCGAAGGCGACGTCTATTATCGGTTATTTCTCGGAACAGTTTTTCTTTGGTAACATGGACGGCGGTAAATGTGAGGAGTTTTCTGGTTTCACCACTCCGATGGTTTTCTAACTTATTCCTCTTGCTTGCATGATTAGGTAGTCTACAGAGGACTCAGATGCAAGTAAACATGCATTATAAGTGAAGTTTGCCACCTTCTTCCTTCGAGATTCAAGCAACTAGAATGGCTCTGCGATTTTCGCAGCACTTCCGAACCCTTCCGATTTAGTGCTGCCCTACCGAGGCGCGGCTCGTTCGCGGTTCGTAGAGTGAGGCTTGCGATATCCATGTATAAGTTACCTAGCTCTAAAGGTGGGGACTAGATGTACTCACGGATAGCCAGCCAATTGTCACCAGAGAAAGCCTGTTTAATGTATTCGACTCAGAATTTTCTCCCATATACTTCCCAGTCACTTTATCGAGATTTTGGCCGAACTGACTCGTAGAATCTACTCCACATAAGTGAGAACACGTACATGCTCGCATGCATGAATGGATCACAGAAGGTAAGTGCCAAATTGGCGCACCAGAAACACAAAGTCCGTTCCCTGGATCCACCTGCATCTCAGGAAGGCGTAAGGTCGCTTTCGATCTGAAATTGACTGCCCTATCTGCCACTTTGGAATGTGCCACGAAACTGTGAGTGGATTCGACTGTTTAAGAATAGTGGTCCAGCTCGTGAATACTGTTGAACAATCGACGAATTGGTTTTCCTTGAAATCTTGGAATATAGGTAATAGACTTTTTCAGATGTCGATTGTGAAAATTAGCCAGCCTTTATAGATAATAGAAGCGACCCGGTACTAGAAAGTACCGAATTCCCGATACCAACTAGCTAGAAGACTTTGTTGGTTCGGTATGGGCTAAAACCAGGGCCTTGCGCGTACTTGAAAGAAACTCTAGGAATATATATATATAAATATATGTATATATACCTTCACATGTATATGTATATAGGCATGAAACTAGTAAAATGTAATCGTTTTTTTATCTAATCGAGGTTAGGATTTCTTCTCTCCAACAGTTTTAAGGTATCCAATGAACATTGTTTGAACAAAGACAATAGAGCAAGTTTTATGTCTTTTTAATAATTTTACTACCCGAGAAACACTGGCTTTCTTCAGCATCTTGTTTGTAAGAACTCTTCATCGACTGCGCCATAGCCAAAAATACCACGAATTTGAATAAACCAAAATTTTCAAAGTGAAAAATGCGTAAACCTGTACATAAATGGTGCTTTCTAAAATCAACGATTTTTAGAATTTTGTCAGATGATGACGAGAAGAAAGTGAAGATTCTATCTACTACAACACGGTCCACTACTTCATACATGTTCGACTATCCTTAGTCGTTTGGATGTACACCAATACGAATTTCCTCCTTTTTTTCCAGTCACTAGCACTTATATTTTCATTCACGTATTATGATGAGTTAAATGTAAAATACAAGAAGATACGCCAATTTTTCATTGCCTCTTCGAAATGTGATCTAAATTTCTATTTCACTTTTTGTGATAAATCATTATGATAGTCGATGTAATCAGTGTGGTAATGCTACAAATACAGAACGAACAGAGATCAATTGTTGGAAGCGTTGACATGGAATGTATTGCATAAAGACGAAGAACAGCAAGTGAACAAAACGGAGGCAGTTTAACGGTGAATAATCAAGAAAATAAGAAACGGAAAAGGTGCGTAAGTTATCAAGCCACAAGGGTGCTGAGGCGCGAGGTTGGAATCTCAGTTGGACTTCGAGCCCGTGATTACCCTTATAGGCGCTCACGTAGTATTCACTGCACTATCAAAGGCTCTTATTTTGCGTTTCCCTCAGTCAGCATCTTGCCCTATTTGAGCTATCAGCAATCAGCCGTGAACGAGAATGATCTGTGGAACATAAGTCGCCATTCAACGCAGTTAATCTGAAGTTAGAGTCGAAATCACAGTGCTTCAACATTTATTAACTGCTCAATCTTTTTTAAATGGCATGGTACTATGTGAAGTGTAACCATTAGCGGAAATGATGGATGCCTGCTGATAACACCGATAGACCAAAAACTTGGCTGAAAGAAAGGCAAAGCAAGGGCCTTAGTTGGTGTGGTAGATAGCACGTGAGCCAGCGGTCATGGCAATCATGTGTTCGAAGTCCAACAATGGTTGCAAGTTTTGCTCATACCTTAGCAACCTTGTGGTTGTACTCTACGTAGCACCCTATCATGAAAAAAGGATAGTAAGTAAATAAATGTTGAGGAAAACGTGAAAAAAGCAGTTATTAATACAACAACACGCCTTCCAAAATACACAGATTAGTTGCGTTGTTATGAAAACGATTACATACTCTTTATACATTAAATAAGAAACTATACACGCATCGAAATCTACGTGAAAACTATGAATTGCCTTGGCTCGTCTCTAAGTTTTCAACAAATTTTATCAAATTAGTTTCTATGCGAACGTTTCTCTCATTCGAGACCCATAAAGTGGAGCAAGTTCCCGAAGCGGAAGCGAATTTGAATGCTCAGTCTTCCGAAGGATTTGATAGGTTGTAACCACCGATACGAGAAATGCGAACATTAGCACAAGAGTACCGGCACCGTGTAGATAAAAAGCAGCTCCGATGCGTTGCTGAAATATATTCAACTGGAGTGTTTGCTAGTGAGTTCTCCGAATGTAATAGTGTTTGTAAATTTACCATATTCTATGGTGCTGAGATATTTGCAAAACTCCGGACTGCGGGTGTTCGCGGCGTGGAACGGCCGCGCTATTGTCCTTTCCGGGGAGTAACGCGTTCACTACCGCTTCATGCGGGTGATTTGTTCCGCCTGTCTCTGAGTTAGTTCTATTGATCGGCGCCATCAACACTCACCCGTCAGCAGGACTGATATATCTCAGCATCATAGAAATTATATTTCGCAACATACCCTTTCATTGAAAAGAGCAGGCAGTAAATAAAAACGTTAAGATTTATCATGTTCCTTTTCTTTTGAAGTTCAGGTTGTTTCATCAGTAGCATTTAATGCCCATTTAGGTACTTTGTAAGAAAAAGGTGTTCATTTGTCAAGCATATACAATAGAGGTGTTTGCGTATACACACACCACTACTTGAGCATTGTATTAGAAAGCGAACTAGGACTTGTTTTCAACACGATCATTCGCAACAACAGAGTACGAGTTTTCTGGAAACATCGACCTTCTTGTAGTTAACGACCGAGAAACACGATCCAGCGATCCAGAAGAAAGTAGAAACAACTGTCACGTGATAATAGTATTACGTATTATATATATATGTACATATGCATGTGTGTATATGTATGCATACACATGTATGTATGCATATATATATATATATATATATATATACTACTTGATTCTTGAACGGCCCGTCCTCACTGGTTGTTCTGGCCCTAGCACAATCACTATTTTTCGGAGATTTGCTGGTTAAGCCATTGTGGTTCCTTGAAATCCCAAGGTCACACTGGCCAAAGTCTGCCCCAGGTCGTGACCACGAGAGGCAGTCGCAGGCCATTGTGGACCAGAGGGAAATTTACCACTATGCGACTTTGATACCAAGACAGTGGTGAATCCTGGTATTGGTTTACTCTCAACTAGGCTTCCTAATGGAAACACCGGACTCCTTCTCAGCTTGGGAGACCTTGCCGTGGAGAAGAATCCCCCCGCTGTACATCGCATTTCGACACCCAGAAACACCTCCCAGCCACGATGAGGCGGCAAACCGTTGGGAGGTATATATATATATATATATATATATATATATGAAACAAGTCTACAAGACTAAAAACTACTGCATTATCGCTAATTTGAGAAAATGATTTCTCCTTTCCTGTCTAACTGATCACAAAGAGAATGAAAGCATCAGTTTTCAAGTGACAAAATCTCAAATTCGTTGTCGACTGCGGGTGTTTGGCCTTCCTCGATGGCACGTAAGCTGATGCCGTCATTAATATGGACAACCAATAGAAATGGCCTCATAAACACCTTATAAACAGCAAAAAAGAATTTGAAAATTTGAAGGGCACTAAATGGTGACATCCGTAAACAACTTGCGTTTTAGCGTAGGAAACAGGATTCAATCACAGGCTGTAATCAACTTTTCACCGAGCTTACAGGCTTTTCAAAGAGAAGTAATTAGATACCATGTGTAAGCGATGACAGTGTTCTTACCTGAAGATTCGAAGCCAAGATGATTAGCACAAATACAACTAATGATTCTAGCTTCAGAAATAAAACTTTTAGTTAAAAAAACCGGATACATCAATCTCATCGGAGTTAATTCATCGAGAACTTTGTACAAATTCAAATAATCATTTCAAGCAGAGTAAATTCGTCTTGCATTCCGCTTTTCATCTAAAGTTTCTTAAACAAAATTGAAAAAATTGCTGCTTGAAAGAAAAGTGCCATCAGTGGAAATGGCAACAATTCGTTTTAGTCTTTTAGTTCGCCCAATTGTGGGGTTGATGGAGGGTTAATTCAAGAAAAATCAGACTTTCAACATAGATTAGGTGGTTCACTCTTGCTATTAAATTCATTGATGGATTACGTAAGTAAGAGACATTGTTTGGCCCATATTCATAAAAGGGCTATCCAAAAAGCAAATGAGGAAGGCGTTACCTAGGCTTTTCATAAATAATTTGCTTCTCCACCACATTTAACGCCATTTAGAATGGAATGAATTAGAAATAAATCACTGCGATCAGTAACTTCTAAAGGACCATTTAGGGTGAGTATCAAGTTTCCGGTTGATCGAGACGGTCACTAAGGCAGACTAAAAACAGTTTCTACAACTTGATCCAAAAAAGATGAACAATGTTTGTTTTTAATTCTCTGCTTGACACATTCGCAATGTGCTACCTCGCGACTCGGGATAGCAACTAATTTTAGGTTTTAGGAGCTCGTTCGTTTGTGAAGATGACAAGGTTGTAAAACAGGCTGTGTTTGTGAGTGTGACTAGAACGTATGCTAATATTTACTACATGTTACTGTGGTCCAACATACAAGCACATTATTTTTAAAACTTGGAGATGTTTTGTAGTTTATGTTGTGCTTATTTCGGTATTTTCTATACCCACATCTCCTAAGCAATAATCACGATTCATTATATCGATTCAAATTGAAATTTTAGATAACTGTCAGCCAAATTACTAGTCGGCGAACTCGCTCGAGAAAACTCTTTGTATATGCCTAAGTGCAGAATAGACCTTTCCCGCTAGACGCCCGCCAGTAACTTGGATTGCATAAGCTATCGATGGATTTTAGGAAACATAGCAAAAAGGCTCTGCACCCCAAAATAAACCACAGGAAAGAAAATGACTTCTGCATAGCCTATAGCACCCACTTAGCGCCCAGCGTAAAACCCACACCGCCGCGTATATTGAAGCATTCTCATATTATGCAAAATTGAAAGGACAGAAAAGAAATTGCTATCACCAAATGTCTACCTACGCCGTGAAATTATCATGATTAACGAGAATGTAGGGCCAACGCTCGCTACCTGGAACACTGACGTGTAGGTAAAAGCGTCCGAGAACAATCTAAGGGAAGGAAGCCTTCTTACTCAGGCGCAGTTGTTTGTTTTTCTCGAAGTTGCTTCTAAATTCACTTATTACTCGCTAGTCTACGTTCTGAGCCAAATAATAGTGAACGGTGAGATAGCACATAATACAGTGTGATTAACGTTTTGAAATATTCTACGCAGAGAGACCTTTAGTAAGATTGCTGAGCTACTGCACAGGTGCGTGGCGAGGATCTTTCATGCACTTCCTAAAAAAGCTACTGATCGAAAGTTGGTATTGACTTAACTTCGTTCTTATGGTATCACGCAAGGAACCAGGATCCTGGGCAGTGCGGCGGTCAGATTCATTTATCACCATAAAAACATCACTATACAATTTTTGTGGCCTTACGATACGTAGAGAACAGAGGTTATACAAGTAGAGAATACAGCATATAAGTTCTTAATCATGAACGATCAGTTATTTAATATGATATTGATAAACATTTGGGCCATCACCACAAAAAGGATTCAAGCACTAAATTTCTACAAGTACACTATTTTGAAATATTTCAAACTGAACAACGGAAAGAAGTTCAAGAACATGACTTACGATAAAGGCAAGAAGGGAAGTGAATTGCCTTTTTTGAAACAAACTTCTACCGTGAGCGCTACATTGCCAGATATGGCAGCATCTTGTAAACGACACATTGTAAGTACAGATCCACGCAACCGTTCAAATGTGCTATGAGTTACTATTACTATTACTAACTATGTGGTGTGAGTTAAAAAAAAATAATTTTACTGTTCTAGCAATGCACAACGACCAAAACATGTGGTGGAATTTCGATGACTTTATCCCAATTGCTTCGCATGTTTTATTTTGAGATAAAGGTGGAGGCGCTTTTGAAAGGTACGTTTTGTCCAGTAAGCGACAATAATAGCGCTTCATCGCCTGTGGAGAATATGAGATAATCGAAACATCAGGCAGAACGGGAACAGAAGCGCCTTGTAAGATATCTCATTCGGTATGAGCCACCATAAATGAATACAGTTCAATTCACTCAGACATTGTTGACGTGTCCAGATAGCACAAATACGCATTGAATTGAGTGGAAATTTGCTTCATACTATACGACTTTTTCACTGAAAGGGTGACGAAGAACTGTAATTTGTGTTAATACACTTACTTCGTACGTGCCGACGAGACCTTGAACAAAACGATTGTCCACTCGGTGAGCAGCAAAGAAAAAAATGCTATCACCAACGACGGACATAAATACTGAAATTTGTTTTCATACACCTCATTGTTTCTTTAACAATCCGATTCTAGATATTTTTTTTCTGACAGCAAGAAACCATGTGTGGAATCAACTGCCCTCAATGACATGGACTTGAATAGCTGCGATTTTGATTGCTTTCAAATACATTGGACCCGTGAACTCACTCTCGTAAAAAAAAATTAGTCCGGGTCATTAAATCAGTGTGAAAGAACAGTCGTTTCAGTGGAACGAAACCTTCTTTCAACTTGAGAAATCTTGTACTTACATGATAAAAGTATAAAAATTGTGAAAATCACGGCGCATCCAGCATTGCACGGTGCACAGAGCCCACAGCAGAATGCCAAAGAGACGAACAGCATTGAAGTGATAAGACATACGATAACGGCTTTGTGCCAACCTTAAAGTGGTTCTCAAGTAGCTCATTGCAAGTGGTCATAATGGTAATACATGCGCTGGTTTACCAAAGAACTGATGATGTTCACTCTCTCCTGCTGCACTGTTTTGGTCGATGTCTTCGATATTCTCGTCAATCACCTATAAATAAATTATTGTCGCTGCATTCCAGTTCAAGTCTACACCGTGTTTGGAGTGCATTTCGATTCAAATTGCCATACTAACTTACCTGGTTTGCCGAGTAGTCAAACTTGTAAGTACAATGTAACGGTTGTCCTTTGCTAAATTCTCGTTTTCCTGTTGCTAAATAACGTTCGGCCCGAGTGCAGTCTAGCCACAAACCATGCTAAAATTGTTCATTCTCAGTGTGGTGACTAAGTCTTCATGTTCGCAGAGAAAAAGATATTTTGAAAAATTCCTTGTCAGTGCAACTTGCCATAACATGAAATTAGCTACGCGGATACGGTTAAAATGGACAATCTGTTTTGAAAAGTGGGAATGGAATATTCGTGAAAGCAAAAGCTCAATCTACTTATTCTTATGCTCGATACCCTGTACAGTGGAGTGAATAGAATGTAGGATTCAAAAATTTTAAGAGAACAAGAAGAAAACTTCTGAGTTTAGATAATCAGAGTTCGCCAACCTACTAATCTTTCCCAAGTTGGTGCGAAATTTCACATACGCAGGATATGTTGGAAATCAATGGCGAATACCTTCTTGGATTATCAAGCTAACATGAGACCGCTAAAAAGATTTACTCGGCTAACGTTTCGACGTCTTCGTCTTCATAAGCCGACAATCCGAGTCGATGGTCCACAGTTCTTCCTCTTTACGATTTGGCGTCTTCGTCGTTGTACCGAGACGGTCTGCTTCAGCGCAGCATGGTTCGAATGAGGGATCTCACTCGGAAGCGCTTTTCTATATAGAGCGGCTGCTCTTGAAATGACTTTTCGTTGATAATTTGTTTTTCAATTTTATCAACGAAAGATCGTGCAGCAGTCAATATTATGTTAGTATACACCTAGCGTATAGCAAAATAATACTTGTCGAAGCCACCGTCATTTAACCTCGGTTGTAGTAATCGACACCTTTTTGGATTATCTGCTTCAAAACAAATTATTATCAACAAATAGTCATACCAACAGCAATCTTCCTGTATAAAACAGCGCTGCCGAATAAGACTGCCTCATTCGAGCCATGGCTCCACTAAAGCAGATCTATCTCGGTTCGATAACGAAGACCTCATATGGAGAAGACGAACGACTGTGGACCATCTACTGTGATCGTCAACTCTGGTGAAGATGAAAACGTCAAAACGTCAGCCGAATAAATCTCTTTATCAATCTCGTGTTAACTTAACAATCAAGAATGTACTGACTATTACCATCGAGGTTAAATGATGGTTGGTTAAAAAATTATTACTTTGCAATGACGAATTCCCTCCTAGAAAATGGGAAACTGCTCAGAAATTGTCGAAAAACCTGTCTTCGGTGTTATCGTTACGTTTTTCTCACAGGCTGTGCAAGTAATACTCGAAAATCTATTCAGTACTTTTTTTGGAAACTTGATCTTTTTCTCTTCACCACGCGTCCTGATTTGTACGACACTGCTGACATTCGTTTTTGATTAATAAGCTGTTACATTTCGAATTCCTGTAGTTCATAAGGTATTCCTACTAAGGTAAGACTTATGATGTCAGCAATGCATTAATGACACTTGTTTTTTTTTCTATAAAGTGTTAAAATTCCACTTGCATGATGTTCTGCTCGGAATTCACGAATGTCGACCACCTGCCATGTGGGACTGAATAGACCGGCAGCACTGAGAGCGAACGCAATCACGATCAACATTAGTGCCGCAACCAGAATACAGGTTTGAGCAAAACGTCCATTTTCTTGAGCCATATAAAGTGTTACTACTGGAAGAAGTGATCATCAGCACTGCTCTTTACCGATGGTGATGCCGTTTGCATGGCGATAGACTTCGAGTTAAAAGTATTAAATTCAAAAACGGCCTTCAGCATAGCGACTACAATAGAAGCCGTTTTAATTAGGAGTTTTTAGCGATAGGTTAAAATCGGAGTATACATGGGCGAAATGGCCTTTTTACCAGTGATATCACTGTAAAAATTTTTTTTTTGATTAAATTGTGAGCAAAACAAAAGCATGAATAGTACTCTTAATATCTTTAGAAAAATTCGAAACAATTAAACCATCTTGGAAGTTACATCATAAAGAAGGAGTTTGAAAAAAAATGTACGACTATGTAACAGCTCGTCATTGTGGAGCAAAGGAAATGCTTTCTAAGGAATTGTAACCACCACGGAGACTCCTATCCTATTAGTTTTACATAGGAAATATTCCAAAATTTTGGGTCATAAATACTGCATGTTAAAATAGTGAATAAAATCTTGGTGGCGCAGCCAGTCTGACACCTCTTAGGATGAAAAATAAAACAAAAATACATGAAACACTATGATGAATCTCCGCGTTTTTGATAGTAAACATTTGTTACGGCTCACCAATGATTGAGGTCAAAATGAAAGCGTAAGGCTATCTACATAAGCAGGCCTATACTTAACGTGCAGGCAACATCGACAGCAGCTCATGAATTTCATTCAAAAGTATAGTTTCTGTTAAAAAGTGCAGGATTCCCAATTCAACGAATGCACAATTGACAAACCCTGTTCGATATCGAGCTATATTTCAATAGCTAGAAAATGAGAGGAGGGGCTCATGGAACATTATTTAATAGGTGGGCGCGGAAGAACGGAGGTACTAGAGCCTTTCAATATGCGCAAGGCAGTAGTTCGATCTCCTAGCTAGCGAACTTTGCCCCCCCCCCCCCCACTCGACCGGGGTTGAGAAACTGGTGTGTAGTTTTTTGGGGTCAACTCATCTATTAGAATCCAAAAGAGCTCTCAACTGCTTGTGAAGAAGAACTGTGGTCGCCCCAACACGGCTAATCCATGATTCTATGTTGGATCGATTCGACCAGCATTCAATTACATTCACAAACCCAAAGCGCTCAAGACGCTGCTGGAGCGACATGAAAAATTCGGAGGTCATCGCGGAATGTGGATTTGAGAAGAGTCGAATGCAAGTGCCTGCTTGGATCCGCGCAATACCTGGTTTCGGGGCTAGCAGAATAAAAAATAAATAAGTAAACTCGGGCAGACCGCAATGGGAGAATTTCTCGCTAACACGGCCTCTTCGCGCTAGATGTTATGAAACGATAAATAAAAAAGGACAGATGAAGGCATTTTCGGGAGAAATGCGTCCGGCCTGACAATAAACGGTAGAGTTCAAGGCACTGGCTAATCCTATTATGAAGCACCATCACAGTTCGGTTTCATAAGTAAATTCGCTGAAATATTAGACATGAATTCCAAAGCACCAAAGAAGAAGACCATACTGCACCTGACATAAAATATTCTTATTTATGAGATCTTATAAACTGATCTTCTTAAGCTGACGCGAGGTTGGTACAGATCTTCGTTGTCGTTGTCGTTGTTTTTGATGTTATTGATCGATGGCTGACGTTTCGGCGACTTCGCCTTCCTCAGAGCCGTGATGTTACGTGCGGGA